TTTCGGTCTATTCATCCTATTCTTCGCGTTTGGTTTATCTGCCATTCCTTTGGCGTATTTATTCTCATTGCGACTGAAGCTGCCGTCCACTGGTTTCGCCATTTTGGTGGTCATATACCTGTTGACAGGAGTGGCCCTATCGTTGATCGTGTTTTTCGTGGGCGCCATCAAAGAAAATGCGCTGGAAGTGACGTCCGGCATCGCAAACATACTGCCCGTGTATGCCATGGGTCACGGCATAGAGAAGCTGTACAAACTGGGCTCATTCCAGGCCGCGTGCAAACAGATGTCTCCCGAGCACCTGGAGAGACGGTGTCAGGACATTGATTCCAAAGGGGGCACCAAGAGTGAATACTACGGTTGCTGTGTGAGTGTGTGTCAACCCAAACACCAGTGTTACGATGACTTCAATGCTTTCCAATGGGATATCAATTATGGTATGGCATCTAATTGTCCAGTATCAATTATCAATGCAATTACTGATTCATTGTTTTCGCGCTAATAGGGATAAGCATTGAACTGACATACCTCATAGTTACCGGTGCTGTATATGTGTTTATACTATGGCTTATTGAAGGCAATTGGGAACGACTGACATACATGTTTAGCACACAAAAAGTACAGACATCTGATAATGGGTTGGCCTATATGGGAACCAATGTTCAGCAAAATGTTGCCATAAATATGGGCACAGGAGTAGCACTGAACCCATGGATGAGATCCATATCAGTGCAGGAGATGGAGGACTCGGATGTGACCGCAGAGAAGAATAGGATCGAAGGGTTAGTCAACACTCATAGCGTTAACAGCGAAGCACTGGTAGTCAGGAATTTGGCGAAAACTTTCGGAAAAGTAATACCCATTCAAGCGGTGAATGGACTGAGTTTTGGTGTCCATCCGGAGGAGTGCTTTGGTTTGTTGGGAGTGAACGGCGCCGGAAAGACAACCACTTTTCGTATGCTTACCGGCGATGAGACGGTGAGCGATGGCAACGCATGGATCGGCTCATTGGCGTTGAGACAACACTTGCAGGCCTTCC